ATGGAAAGACAAGCACCACATGTACTCACCATCAAATTGGTATTAACTGATCAACACATAAGTGCACATATAAGAATAACATCTATTGGATGTTGGGCGGGGGGAGGAGGGAGGAGGGACGGGTATATGCATACACAAAGACTGCAATGGGCACCACCCAAAGGATGCACATATTTGAAACTCGGACTTAGGGGGGGAGGGGGCGTAAGGGCAATATACATAACCTAAACATCTGTACCCCCATAATATGCTGAAATAAAAAAAAAAAAAACAAATTAAAAACTTCTGTTGAACAAAAGACTCAATTAAGAGAGTAAAGCCACAGGCTAGAGCAAGATATTTTACATATGCACACAAACATATATGTGCATATATATGCACATGTCATATATATAGTCATTCATATATTTATGAAAATAACCAAAGACTCACATCTATTAATGGAATATATAACTCTTGCAACCCAATTTTTAAAATTAACAAAAGACTTGAATCAATATCTAACAACAGACAATATACAAATGACTAGTAAATATATAAAAAAGGGCTGAAAAATCATCACTTATCAGAGAAATGTGAATTTAAACCATACTGAGAAACCACAAGAGAACAGCTGAAATTGGGCTGACAATCTCAAGTGATGACAAACATAAGTGTTATGGATTTAATTGTGTCCCCCAAAAAAGATATGTAGAGGTCCTAACCCCCATTACCTCAGAATGTGACATTATTTGAAAATAGGGTCTTGACAGAGGTAATCAAGTTAAAATGAGATTATTAGAGTGGGGCTTAGTAGAGCATAACTGGTGTCCTGAAAAAAGGGGAAATTTGGACACAGAGACAGACATGCACAGCAACAACTATGTGAAGAAACAGGGAGTATGCCAAGTGAAAGCAGAGGATTTGGAGTGAAGCCTTTATAAGCCAAGAACTAAAGACTGCTGGCAAACCACCAAAAACTCAGAGAAAGACATGGAACAGATTCTCCCTCCCACCTCTCAGAAAGAACTGACTTGCCCAACACTTTTGTTTTGGACTTCCAGCCTCCGGAACTGTAAGACAATAAAAAACTGTGATTTTTAAGCCAACTAATTTGTGGTACTTTGCTACAGCAGCCGTAAGAAACTAATACAATGGGGATCAACTGGAATTCTCATACTTTGATGGTCAGATGTAAATTGATTGAAACATTTTGGAAAACTGGCAGCGTCTAATGAAACTAAACATGCATATAACCTATAGCCCAACAGCTCCCCATGTGAATATATAACCAACAGAAGAAGTGCTTATATACACCAAAACACATGCACAAGAATGTCTGTAGTAGCACTATTCATAGTATCCAAAAAATAGAAACAACTCAAATATTTATCAATAGTAGAATGAATAAATTGTATCATCATTTAATGGAGTATTACAAAACAATGAAAAAGGACAAACTACTGCTACATACAACGACACTGTAATCTTAGACATGGCATGAGCAAAAGAAGCTATATACAAAAGAGTTCATGCCATAACATTTTATTTATAAGAAAATCACAGACAAAACTAATTAATGGCAATAAAGATTCAGCTTTGGAGAGCAGGTATTTACTGGGACGGGGCCATGAAGAAACTGTCTGGAGTGCTATAAATGTTCTATATCTTAATCTGAGTCATGCATATGTGTATCTGTAAAACATTTTCAAGCTGTTCAGTTAAGATTTATGCACTTTATTGTATGTAAATGATATTTCAATAAAAGGCAAAAAAAGCAATTTCCTCTGGGAAATTGATTAATGCTTGAGAGGGATCAAACAAAAAAGTTCTTTGGTTCTGTTTGATTTTTGATGTATTAATACATATGTGCTCATATATTAATTTGATATAAATAATTTGTCAAAAACAGAACATAAATA